GTTTTATGACTCGATTGCACTTTTTGAAAGTTTTAGTATTCAATTGCACTTTCATGATAAGTTTTATAATTCAATTACACTTTCACGATAACTTTTAGGACTTTTGATGCACTTATATATATATGTAATTTTTGTATATCTAACATTACTCAATTCCAAGTTCTCCTTTGAACGAGTGTAATTACTAAAACCAGCGCGAATTTTTGCTGTCATTTTCCTCGAGGAGAGAACTCATGTGCTATCTTTAAGAAACTTTCCATGGCGTGGCACGCTCAAACGCCATCAATCATATCACCAACTTCCAAAGCACTTGATGGGCTGGGCTACAATCACAGCCCTACGCCATTGACCAAAAAGCTCATGAGAAACAATGATGATGGTCATCTCCTTTTCAAAGAACTAAAATTTCAGCAAATGCAATAAAGAAAAACAGCACATTTCGTCGTCCAAATTAGGAAAAATACCAGCATATGATAAGTCGCAAGGAAAAAAATAAAATAAAGTTTAGACATAATCATAAGCTCCAATTGGTGATTATGGACCTGATTATGGATGGTTTGAATTGGCGATGGTTATTCAACACAATTGAACAAAAGTAAGCCATGGGAGTTTAGTTTGGAAACTTTTGACTGGCTATTAGAGCTTTGAATAATTTGAAACCCTATTGACATTTTGTTTTTAAACTTTGCTTCTTGACCAATTTGAGCTTATGGATTAATTCAGCAAGCTTGATTCTATTAGTGTTACACTGGAAAATTTTAATTATGTTAATAGAAAGGAATATTCATTCAACAGAAACACATTAAATCCATTTTAAATGTAAGGAGACAATGACAACTAAAATTATTTACTTAAGACTTGATTTCTAAATGAATGGGTAAATGCTAATTAAGATCATTTACTTAACACTCAATTTTTTTTTCTCAATTTCTTATAACACTTGAATCTTATTTTTTAAAATGATCCCCAAAATTAAGGCATACGGTGAGTGGGCAATTAAGTTCCTATTTTCCAATAGATAATGTCGAAATCATGCAAAATTGGGTGAGATGTACAACTTCTGGGCACTAGATGTCATCGGTTGTGACTTTAGGATTTGATAACATCAAATCGCATTAAATTGTAGTTGGTGACACGTAGAAAATATCATTTTTCTTAACATTAACTTATTCCTCTACAAATTCCAACGAACAATAAAATAGAATCCATAATATCGACATGAATTTGCGGGGTCCAAATAAACATCAAATAGAAAAAAAAATTCAGATCAGATCTTGGCATTTAGTCTCTGTCGTGAAATGGCAGTTGGATGGTTGAATGATTTGATTCTTACAAACTGGTTGAAGCTTCCCCTTTCTTACAGGACATCAAATAGATGGGACAACATATAATTAGATGAAAATTATTTTTAAAAAATGAATAAAAAGATGCTGCAACCACAGCTTCTCAGCCAATGAAAATATAGAGCACGAAAACGACCGGTGAGTCGAAGAATCGAAGTTAGTTGCCTCTCAATTATTTTAGTGAGCACGAGAAAATCCGAAATAAATACTTCAATGAAAGTCAAATGCCACACTTCCATTTATTTAATTGCTCTTTTTATACCATTTGTAGGAATCAAGTCAATGTTTTTATGTTAGGATTGTGCAATTTCTTTAAATTCTTCTAGAGTGAAAGTAAGCTTCTTCGAGCAAAATGTTCTATCGAACAGGCTATACAAAGTAGATCCGGCGATGGGACCAGTTTAGTTGCATTCGGGTTGGTTGAGTTAATACGAGTTCGAGTCATGGATGAGATTTGATCAATCTAGACCCAACTCTATTCAAGACGGATTAACCCTTTTTCGATCATCTTTTTCTCTTCAGAAAGCGAGTTCTAGTTTTAATGTACAAATATTCCATAAAAAAATGTATTCAACATATGAATAAATAGAAAAATATCTACCTTTGTGTTTATTTCCCTCTCGTTCTCTCTCTTCTCTAAGTCCTAACCTTTTAAATGACTCACAGGTCCATGGATAGGCGCTCCCTCCTTAGAAATTAAGGATGCGCACGGTAACATTTTTGTTCCCGAGAATAATTTATGTTCGGAAATAGTTTTTTCTATTTCTATATCCTGTATGAGTTTTCGAGTTGAAAAATACGTTTGGTAACTGCACAAATTTCTATCCTCAAAATAGAAAAAGAACATAAAAACATTTGATATGATCTTAAAATTTTTTGTGATGTGGAATTTTATTCAGTTTTTAAATAATTTTTTGAGATTTTTCTAATTTTTTTTATCTTTTCTTTTCTTTTTTTCTCCCTCTTCTTCCTCCTCTAGTCAGTTGTCAGGCCTGAGCGATAGCCAACGACCGACTAGAGACAAGGGCTGTCGACCTCGCCCATCTGCGGCAAGGCTCGACCTCGCCCATCTGCGGTGAGGTTAACTTCACCCGGCCATGGCGAGGCTCGCCAAAGGCCAGCGAGGTCGCAAGCTAGAGGAGGAAGAAGAAGGAAGAACAAAAAAGAAATGACCTTGTATCAGAAATTGTGATCAGGAACAAGAAAGTGGATTTTTTTTTTTTACTTTTTGTTTCTATTCCAAAATTATTCTCTGGCCACATTTCTATTTCGAAGAATAAAAAAATTAATTGACATACACAAACGGATTTTTGTTCTTTTTCTGCTCTGAGAAATAAAAGAAACAGAAGAAATAGAAACGTTATCAAACGCACCCTAAGAATCCCTAATTTATATCTTTATTTTGATTCAACTCTTTAGGACCACCCTTAAAGTCATAGGCCTCTATAACTTTGTAATTACCGTAAAATGATCAGAAATAGAGACTGGTCGGCTACTAGTAACATCGATCGCTCGCGGCAACATATCAAGAAAAGAGAAATAAAAGCGCGGCCTTCGAAAAGGGGGCAGGCAGCTCCACTTTTATCATCGGCTGAGGGTCAGATCATTGGATCGTAAGGGCGTCATAACGCCTTGCATATTGCCACGACTGCAGAAGGAAATGGCGAAAAAATGCGCGCACTTTTCGTTTATCCAATAGTATACTTATATGAGACAATACTAAAAATGTGAAGGAAAATAAAAAAGAGAAATAAAGCATAAACATGGTACAAATAGATTAGCCTAATCATTATGGAAACAAATAATCTAAGCATATTACATAAGGACCCAGAGATACTCACAAATACAGAAATGATCACAGAATATTTAATCACGATTACGGAATATATTTTCATTATATATCGTCCGTCATTCTTATTCAAAATGTCGGAGCACAAAAATTTAACAAACTACGCTTTATACGGACGAGATTCATTGTATTTTTAATCCGATGGTTTTCAAAGCTCCTACAAGGGCCTCCATGGCTTGTTACTATCCTGTCGGGCGGTCTACATGGAAGCTTTCCTTATCTTACATCCTCAATTCTCACAATATCTTTTTTTTCCTTAAAGAAAGGGAATACCTTTGAAAAGATTTACAACCCCGAATATCCCGAGGGTTGCTTAGACATCAAGAAATATATTTCATTACACATCGTTGGCCGTCGGAGCACAAGAATTGAAGGACTACAAAATTTCACGGATGAGATTTAACTGTATATTTTTGATCCGACGGTTTCCGAGGGCTGGAGATACGTCTCGAGAAAAGATATGTAAGAATCGCGGTTTCCAAAGGTCGTCCGGCGGGCCCAACTGGGGGAATGATTCGTGACGAGACCGTTCATCGCGCAAAACAGAGAGGTCAAAAATCGCGTCTTTGTCTCCTGCTGTCGAACTCCTCTCCCTCCCTCCCTCCCTCCCTCCCTCTTCCTTCAGGTGCGTCTCGATCTCCTCCCGACCCTTCTTCGTCTTTCTCGCAGTAGTTTAATAGGCGAAAGGGGGTCGCCCCCCCGCACGCAACATTCTCTCTCTCATGCGCGCGCGCGCACGTAAACACGAACCCAGATGCACGCACGCACGCACGCACCCAGAGACACGCAGTGGGAGAGAGAGAGAGAGAGAGAGAGGGAGGGAGGGAGGGTGGTCATCGAGTGTTAAAGCTTGCGCTTTGCGTGAGCGTACCCCCGCATCGAGGTTCTTGAGCGAGGCCCATCTTTGGCCGACCCCGTAACATCATCAGCACCACCGCCATCGCCACGTTCGCTGCGCCAAGTGCGTCTTCTCGTGCGCTCTCTCTCTCTGTTACCGCTTTTTTGGGTGGGGCGGCGGCCTCTTTTCTCTGTTCTCTGGAGCTATTTCCTTCCCTACTCGTGGAAAGTTCCGTCGTTCTTTTGTGCGGTGCCCTTTTGCGTCCTGGGTCTGAACGGAACTCATTGTTTTTGTTTTTCACGTCTTCTTCGTGATTTTTGGTTTGGTGGGTTGCATCGCTTTCTGGAGCTTTTCCTGTTCTTGCTTGTTAAATTTTCGTCGTCGGCTTTAGTGATGCGCGTCTCGCCACGCAGTTCCTCCTCCGTTTCGGTAATGGCTGTTTGACTTCCTTGCTGATGAAACGTCCGGCTGCTAAGTAGACACGTAAGTGCGTTTGCGTTGTCCGGCTAGACGTGGAGATATTCCTTTCTTTCCTTTTGGCTTTCAAATTGGGGGGTTTCGGTTTCTACATATTGCCATGATTTCGTAGTCTCTGCCCTTTCGTTCCGCGTGCGTGGTGATTGAGTTACTTGGATCTCCTTTTGGGTTCTTGTTTTTTCTTTCTCTGAAGCTTTTGTTTTGAAGAATGCAGTAGGGTGCGGTCTCTTCAATCTCGATAGCTGCTGCAAATGCGTAACAGTTGCTAATATATGTTTTCTTGATATGTGTTCATATGTTTGCGGTGAATAGGAGTTGGGTTGTTTTCATTTGCGGAATTGGTGCCTTTTTGCCCTTTTCCTTTTCTTCCTCTTTGTATGTTTACTCTGCTTGAGTTATATCTTCGGGAGCACGGTTGTCGTTCATGCAATTAGCTGTTAATCCTAGTTTTGAGGTAGTGGTACTGTTGTCTACACAGTTCATTGAACTACGACGGACCGAGCATGTCCAATCAAGTGGACGAAGTAGATTACATGGCGGAGGAGAGAGAGGCCGATGACTTTATCGATGAAATGGATGAAGAAAACAATGGTGGAGCTGGTGGCAACATTCCTGATGCATATGACATGGTTTGATCTCTGTTACTTTTACTCATCGCCTCATGTTTCCCCGTCTCTCATGCTCTATCATTTATCATTTGAATACTTGTTCCTTGGATTCATTTTGAGCAGCTCACTAAGATCACGGATACATCTGCCGTGCAAGCAAGAAACGGGAAAGACATCCAGGGTATTCCGTGGGAGAGACTGAACATAACCAGAGACAAGTACAGGTTAACAAGGATTCAACAGTACAAAAATTACGTGAATGTACCGGAACCTGCAATTATTGCAGATAAGGTTCACTTCTTTTCCTAAATTTGATCTCGTTTTTTTACGTACTCTTAGTTCTGAATCCTGAATTAAAAAAAAAACATATATTAAATAGTTTTGCTGTGACAATCCAGGAGTACAAACAAGTGGAGAAGGGCGCCAATTACTATGATTTCTTTTACAACACGAGAGTAGTTAAGCCTACAATACTTCATTTTCAGGTGAATAGTCTTTGATGCGTGGATATGATTGCAAGGCTGTTTCTTCCCTTCTCTTTGTAATTCTAGACAGAATCTGCTGCCGTTTAAGTTATCCCTATTTCTGGGCATCAAGAGGGGGCGGGGGTGACGTACATTTGCAATTTGTTTTGTCATGTTGATCAAAGTGGGATATAGAAGGTGCAATCGGTAGAAAGCTTGACTACGAGATCTTCCCTTTTGCAGCTACAATTTTTCCTGCGAGCTGCAAAACTCCAGGAAATTACATAAGTAACAGAGAGAAGAAAAAGCTGGCAAATCAGTTCTCTTCTGAACTGGTTCAGTATTGCTCATTGGTCTGGAAAAGGTCTTTCTAACATAATATTTTGGAGTTTGCTGAACTTTTTGTTGCTTGCCATATTCAGCGAATAGTTGAGCTTGCATTAACTCATTAGAGGGGGAAAACGTCATAATTTTAAAAATTCATTACTCCTTCTTGCATGTTATGTTGGATAAATTCACAAAAGAGAAAGGATATTCAAGTGGTAGAAATTTTGGTGGTCTGAAGTGTCCATTGGTCTAACAGAATGTGTGTCTGGGGCAATCTGAAATTTCACGTTGTTGACCTGCATATACATACACCTACGTACATACATGGTTTTCCTACTTGATTTGATACCTAACTTATTTTAGTAACCTGCAGCTCAGAAACTTAGTGTGGGCTACTTCGAAACATGATGTTTATCTGATGTCGAACTACTCGGTCATGCATTGGTCTTCATTGACTCTCAATTTGAAGGAGATTCTCAATTTCGCTGGACATGTACAACCTACCGAGGTACGAAATTGATATCGCCAGCTTCATGTCTGCCTACCTTGTTATCAGGTTGGAGAAGGCACATGCATGATTCCTTTTCCTTTATGTTAATTTGTGATCACTTTATTGTTTTCTCATTCTTCAAATCAGAGGCTTGTCTTTGATGACATCTAACAGTTTTAGTTACTTTTCTGCAGAAACATGCAGGAACTCTGCTGGAAGGCTTTACGCAGACACAGATCAGTACTTTGGTAGTCAAGGATAATTTCCTTGTAGCAGGTGGCTTCCAGGGAGAGATTTTCTGTAAGGTAACCTTTTTTTCATTTCGTGTCTCATATTCTTTTCACTTTTCTTATGATGATATCCTGTAAATTTCCACCGATAAATTTTTTTCTGAAATTGCATCTTTTATAAGGTGATCCTGCAAATTCAATACTGAACTAATTTGCCTTTTGTCCATTGTATGGTCTGTCTTGCTCGTAATTAGGCAATTGGAGTCATTTTTCTGTCTTGATTATCATAAATTTGTAGCATCAGCTCCTTTTATAATTTTATGTTGAGAAAATTGCACGGCATTACTCTGCACTGAAACACTACACGTGAAGATTGTCAGATATTTGGTGATCTAGAGGTGATGGAAATCGTCTTCCCCCCCCCACAAAAATAAAAATAAAATAAAATAAAGAGGTGATGGAAATATTGGAAAAATGAATTTAAGACAAATAATTCTGTACTTTACGAGATTCACATATTGTTATGAGGCAGCTTCTGAGGTGACTGGTGAATTTCAAAGTAATGCCAGCTGAATTTCCTCGTGTTTAAAGTTGGCTAAATCACCCTTTCTGTCTCTTTATCTACCGGCTGAAGAAAAGTCCTCTTTTGAGATATTATTCTGTATTGGCCTCTTTTAATTATCTTTTGGACCAATATATCATATTTTGGTGGGTCATTTTGTGATAAATTACAGGGCAAACAATTTGCTATTACTCTTAATGACAAATTTTTGCTTGCAGAGCTTGGACAGAAAAGGAGTGAGCTTCTGTGCAAGGACCACAGATGATGATAATGCAATAACAAACGCCATTGAAATTTATGACAGCCTGAGGTATCAAAGTGCTCGAACATTGTCGCGATTCTTACTTGTTTAACATTGAGAAAAAGCTTGAGCGTTTTGTCTTGCTCAGCAGGGGTGGGATGCATTTTATGGCAGCCAATAATGACTGTAGCATAAGAGAATATGATATGGAGAGATTTCAAGTTGTCAATCACTTGTGGTATCCATGGCCCGTAAATGTAAGCTTCCCAAAGCAAGTTTAGATGCATGGATATGACCCTTTTCATATGAAGCAATTTTTCTTCATCACTTTCTTATCTTCATAATTGTTCCTCTGCTTATGCATCAATTGGCAAATTTGTATGTAATTTTTTCTCTGAAAGAGATTGGTAGCGATTTAAGTAAATGGCTATTATGGATAGCGATCACGAATATCTGTTGTATTTTGCTGCTCGTGATCTCCGTCCAAAGTTCTATATAATCTGTACTCTGTTCTTGTTTTGGATACAATTTGATTTCTTGCTGAGAAAGAAAAAATTCTAATCCTCGATATTGATTTGTTTGTGTGACCTAAGTTAACAAATTCAACAGTACATGAGGCATGTCCTGATTTATTTAGTACATATAACTTTTGATGCAGCATACATCAATCAGCCCGGACCGTAGATTGACTGTGGTTGTCGGCGATCATGTAGATGGGTTGCTGGTGGACGCACAAAATGGAAAGGTAAAGCATTTCTGATTTGTGACAAATATGTGATTACGATATGGCATTGAACATTTCATTGACAATGTTATTCGCCGCTTTATAATCTCCAGAGCATCGCTAAATTAACTGGCCATCAAGATTACTCCTTCACTTCAGCATGGCACCCGGACGGACGGGTTTTCGCCACGGGGAATCAGGACAAGACTTGCCGAGTATGGGACATAAGAAACCTGAAATCACCGATCGCCAGTCTCAAGGGTAACCTCGGAGCCATCCGATCGATCAAATTCTCATCTGACGGTCAATTCATGGTGATGGCTGAGCCAGCGGACTTTGTGCACGTGTACAGTACAAAAGCAGACTACAACAAGAGACAAGAGATCGACTTTTTCGGGGAGATCTCGGGCGTTTCCTTGAGCCCAGATGATGAGTCGCTGTACATCGGTATCTGGGATCGGACTTATGCGAGCCTGCTTCAGTATAATAGACGGCACACCTACAGATACCTCGACTGCTTTCGATAACTTGCATGTTAATTCGGACTGACTGGATTTACACCCATGCATTTTTCTTTTTGGTTGAGCTCTAGTTCCTAACGATCCGATACGGTAGGATGAGTAATTTCAAAGCGCGAATGCGGAAAAATGTAAATGAATGTTAATGATTGCTTGAGAGTAATCTTTTCCATGGTGAATCACTGTGCGCATATCTGGCTATATGAGCATTTGGCTTTTCTGTTCTTGTGGAGTCCATATTATTATCACACGTTGGTTGCAAGGTCTCTTGATGTCTTTATAATGTTACATGGAGTCGTGCTGGAGGATTTTGGATAATTGAGCCAAGGAGTCACTTATCAAATCATTTTCCTCGTTCGTACATCGAAACCAGTTACCGAGAAATACTTTTTGATTGCTGCGTAAGTCATCTCAAACTCGCATCAACATCAAACGTCGAATGACTGTCGCGACCCGACATAGTTTGTCCACAGATTCTTTCACGACTCGGATGAATGGCAGACTTTTTGACATGGAATCATCGAATAAGTGTCTTTGGAGGGAACGAAATGGTTAGAAATAAAACAGCTGCTAACATAGCAAGGATTCTTGAACTCTACTCTTCATAACTTTTGGACCCAGATTCGGCTTTTGTTTGGCTTCAATGAAGGTATGCTTCCCTTTAGATACCTCGGTGTACCTATCATTGCGTCCAAATTGAGTAAGACAGATTGCATTTCCCTTGTCAACTCCATTACTGCTCGTACTCGCTCATGGTCGCATCGTTTCCTCTCATTTGCGGGTCGGCTCCAGCTTATTAAATCAGTTCTCCATGTTACCCATGTCTATTGGGCCTCTGTTTTCCCACTGTCTCGATCTGTTCTATCCAGAATTGAATTGATTCTTAGGCAATTTTTATGGAAAGGCCCGGATCTGGGGCCAGGGGGCGCGAAAGTGTCCTGGAATGTAGTTTGCCTTCCTAAGGATGAGGGAGGACTGGGAATTCGTAGACTCCTTGAATGCAATCGGGTAACCCTACTCAAGCACATATGGATTCTCTTCACTGATAAAGAATCTCTGTGGTGTAAATGGATTCACTCCAATTTCTTGAAGAACAAGAATTTCTGGATTGCACCCAAACCAACGGTATGTTCTTGGGCTTGGAAAAAAATTTTAGACCTCCGTCATGAATTCCAACTTCATTTCTGCTGGCACATTGGTAACGGAGTTATCACCTCCTTTTGGTTTGATAATTGGCACCCTAGGGGTCCTCTTTACAAATTATTCACGGACAGGGATATTTACAACTCCGGGATTCCGCGAAGCTCTACGGTTAGTGATTTTTTCTCATCCAATTGGCCCCAGTCTTTGGTCCTAGACACACTTCGCTCCTGGCTGCCTACTGGTTCTCTTCAACCGGGAGTTAGCGATAGTATCTCTTGGCAGGGACATCCCTTCGGCGACTTTTCTTCTGCCAAGGCGTGGGAACCCATAACGATCAAGGGCCAGAAAGTTAAATGGAGTTCATTCATCTGGGATCCTGCCATCGCCCCCAGATACGGGTTTCTGTTATGGATCACTACTCTGAATAGGCTTCCTACGCAGGAATATTTATTGAGGCACCATAGGATCGACGAAGGGTCCTGTGCTTTTTGCCGCTACAGACCGGATTCCACCGATCACCTCTTTTTCGGCTGTAATATCACGGGCTCCCTTGCTAGCTTTTAGGCTTCCAAATGCAATCTTTCCTGGCGCAATAAACCGTGGCTTAACAACCTCCGATGGGCTATACGGGTCATTGGTGGCCATAGCTTCCATCAACGCATTGCTCGCTTCTCCCTAAGCGCCTTATGCCACATTATTTGGACGGTAAGAAATGATATCTTTTTTAGGAGCAAACCACTTTTTATACCGGCCATCCGCAACCATCGTATTAAGGTGACGAGAGATAGAGGTTTATCCTTTAAACCCGTCAAAGATAATCCCCGCAACCGGAGAGTTCAAGCAAACTGGGGCATCTCTGCCTCTATTTTTGATTCATAGTATTTGCTTAGCAGTTGTATAGCTGGCTTTCGCCGAAGTGTTCGGCCTCCTTGTTCCGCCCTCGCGGCTTTCTTCTTTTCTCAATCGTACACCTTGTACCCGTGAGAACACCATCCTTGTTCCCTAGGATACGAGGTTTTTGAGTACGACGTCCTTTCTTTGTACTTGGTGCGTTAAAAGTATAAATACATCTTTTAACCAAAAAAAAAGTATAAATACATCTTACTTTACCAAAAAAAAAAACTTTTGGGTGGAATAACAACTAGTGAATGAATCCTGGAAAAAGAGAGTTCATTAGAGCCATCCATGGTCTTGAACACATTTTCAACTTCATAAACCATTCAATGTTTGTTTCTTTAAAGGCTCTATTCAAGTAATTGAAGATTGCAGCTGATTTGAGGCGGACCAACTACTACTGTCGAAGCTTTACAAAAAGAAAGCAATTCTTTTGTACAAGAGTAAAGATTTGAGGATAAAATAAAGACTCGAGGCATCCTTTGAGATGATAATTTGATGTCTTTCCTACATCATGTGCACAGAAGAAAATCCTATTTCCACCGAGTTGCAGCATACAATCGTATTCGACTTTACTCCAAGTAATTCGGATAATTAATGCTCAAAATTTAGATTCCACTAATTTAATACAACACGGACTGAGTGAATCCTCTAAAAAAGAAACATGCAACTGATTTCCTCTCCCTCCTGTCTTACAAAATATCTGAGACATTCTCATCTGGTTATATCAAAGGCATCTTCTAATCTTTCGTTAATTCTCCTGCAATGCCTTCATCAAGTACAATTTGCTGAAGCTCTGTCCAGCAACCCTGTTGCATTTCCAGGGTCGACAAATCGAAGTTAGAGAAGCCCAAAGACACTGTCCATGCGAGAGAGAAGGAACGCAAATGCGGATAAATGTGCATTTAACTAGCCAAAAATAATAATGAGAGTAACATGGACACCACTGAAGAAACAGTTAGTCTGCCTCACTAATTTCCACATTCAAACACGAGCCCTACTTGATTATAGTGACATACCCGTTAATCTGGTTGCAGTAGTTGGAAATTTGATTTGTTATAAGAAAGCTGTCCAAGCGTGATGGCTCAGGGAGAGGCTTAAATACGGGGTTTGATGGATCCTCTTCAGGCAAGGGCTCTTCTCCTGCAGCTTTTCGTGTCATGTTTTCAGCCCTGTATAGAACATGGTGCAATTATCAATACTTATAAAATGTAAGTGACCAGTAAAAATAATGAAGCACGGAAAATATGCAAAATATGCAGCTTTATTCAAGCTTCTTCTGATGATCAAATGTATTGAGGAATTACGACAATATCCACCTCTAATGCTCAGGTATCAAATCTACAGATACTCCGATAGATTTTGTATTTTCCATTGAAAGTGGACAATACCAAAATCTTCAAGTGGCCAACTCTATTACTTAAAGAAAAAGAGAGAAGAAAAGGAAAATCAAACTCTCACATTGACTTCATTGCACCGATCATGCGACAACTTCACTAACAGTTTTGCAATCCTTTATGAAGTTACCACATTCTTGCAATTCGATTATGTGTATCATTAATATTAATTTGCATATTCCATCCTAAAAAATTATAAACCTCCAGGAAATTAACCATGGAACTTCTTCATTTGCCCATTCAAAGTTTCAAACACCAGTTGCTCTGACAGGCAGACACCAAGATAATCACATCAAAAGAGACCCCGGACCTGATACTCACGGATTTAAATGAAATTCTCATCTTGTACAATTAGCAATCATAGCAAAACTAAAATTTCATCCTTTTATGATATCGAAGCATATCACATAATAAATACTGGTTTTGGAAGATTGCTGAGAAAGACAAAGAAACTTCTGCCAATGATTACCTTCTTTTTTGAAGCCATGCTTGCTGCTGCGCTTGCTGTCGTGACAAATTCCGATAATAATATTGGAACTGCAAAAGAAACACTCAAGTTATATTATCAAAGTCTAAATCACAGAGATGCAACAACAAAGGTAAAAAATCAAAGGCACCCCACCTTCTGCTGCTCCACTGACAGATCATCCATGCATTCAATCAAAAATTCCATATTCCTCTCCACAAATGGACTGCTTGACAACTTCAGCCGGTCATAATCACTCTACAAAAGAACCAAAAACCAAAGATAGTTCAATGGAATATCACACATGCAGCCTTAGATAACAGCCAGATGAATAGTAGTAGTACTACCTGAGTGACAGGTGAGTCAGCTTCAAGCTCTGTCATAAAAGCACTAATGAGAGTGGAATTTGAAACTTTGATCTGCCAAACAAAAGCAGCACATTGAAGGAAACAGCGACAAGAATGAGAGGTGTTGACCATCATCCTAGAATTGAGCATTCATGCCAACATCTATTATATAAACAATCTAATATTTAAAATGCCAAGTTGGAACGTTAAGCATGGAAAATCATGTTGAGTTATACAAGCAAATGATTGTGTTATTGCTCCAATATCAGACGTTAAACTAGATGATATTTTAGAATTCACAGGTGGACTTGGGTTTTGAAGTGTCCAGACCATCATAAGTAAAATTTGGGACTCCTTGGGCAGTGAAACGAAGGACCAACAGTCTCAGTGAAAGTCCATCACTAAAAGGGGAAAAAATATCCTAAGGCCCTAATGTACATCTTGTAACCGCCAACAAGATGACTATTATATATGAGCTGCCTTATTATAATTGGCTGACACTCCACATTCTCTAAATTCATTTTGACTGCCTCACTCAGCTGGTTGCTTTCAAAAGTCCATCACAAGTAATCAAGCAGCAAAAAATAGGCTGCGTTGCTGTCTTTGAGAATCATTCCATCACAACCGCTCTTAGTATTAGAAGTCGAAAATAAAATGTTGATCGCAGATACAAAGAATGACATACATTTTGTCATAGAGAGGATACAAAAGAGCAACACAATGGAAGATACCATAAAGCTAAGATGCACTGCTATTTTCCAAAACATAAGCATCAGGAGAGAATCTTACCGGTATCTCCTCAAATATATCCACCCATGACAAATTCTTCTCTCTCAACCTACGCAAAAAATTAGAAAATCATGTCACTTCAACAATTTTTACGCTTTTTTATGTAATAATTGCTAATTAATACAGGAAAGAATGTCATACTTCTCTCCAGTGAAGTTATTGTTACGATAAAGTTCCATAAACGAATCAGAGAGCTTCAGGGCCTTGAGGGCTAAGACACCTTGATTAGATCTTGAAGGATCATATATTATGCAAACACACCTCCTTATGTTCTCCTGCCAGTGAAACAATTTATTAACTGCTGAAACCAAGTAAAAGAACAAAACCCATAGGTGATATTGGCCGTTAAAAGACATAGTCCAACTGATCTACTATAAGAAAAGTAATTAAGATATCAAAGCAAGATACATACACCATGCATATGGACAGATTTACAAATAAAGATGACTTCTGTATGTTTAACTAAAACGAGGTCTGACCAAAAAAAAATAACTAAAACGAGGACATCCTAAACAAGCATCCTATCAAGATTAGGTCAACTCACATGAATGTGATAATTGAAGCCTTCCTATAGCATATTACAACACCATATATCCTAAAAGATTTTTTTTCAACTTACTGGGTAACATGTGCACGAAATAAGTCGTAAGAGCTAAAAATGTCTTCCAGGTCTGCTGCTGCAACAACAAGTTCTTCAATCATCTCAAATTAAGTGATCTCTAGAAGCTCATTTTCACCACACTGCCATACTATCAATATTTTCTGGTCTGATTTGCAAAGACATCGTTCCATAGAGCTACAAGCTGTACTTGGATTTGTCCCATTTCAAAATCTACAGCCAATGTCCCCGCTTTTCAGTTATTCTTCTTAATTTTAAGCTTCATTTGCATCTCACATAATTTTTATTAAAAGCCTACTAATGCAAATCTCTCAGTTAAAAAAAAATCGCAATTCACAAATCTGAAAAATGTGACTTGCGGCATGATATGAAATTTCAAATACAAGTCCAATAACTAATAATACAATACCTGATAATTCATGAAGGTCTCAATCAACTCCACCGTTTGATAAGAACCAAACAATGTTGATTGGTACCTATAAAACAATAGAGATAACAATGTAAAACACACTGCACATAATAGTAGGCACTTGGGGGCGAGGAAATCTATGTTAAGCAAATAACGACCCTAGAAATTTTCTTAACAGCCTACCAAAACAAGCGACAGCACGGATTACCCTCACAACACATTTATGCATTCACAGCAGTCGATTAACAGACAACACTCTGTACATGTGAAGACTATGAACTCACCATCCGACAGTGTTGTTGTCAACATTGACCTCCCGAAGACACCTCATCATTTCAAGCTGGTAATTGGCACCCTCCGCTTCAATCTCCTCGTCTTCTTCGCGTATCTGACAGGATTTAACAAAACATTAAATAATATATATGAAAAGACGACCCTTTATTCGACAAGGGCGCACAATTTCCACGAGAAGCAGAATCTAACCGGGAAAGGGAAGCAATTGGTGACTTCAAGGACGCTGCCGACATCCAAACCAAGCAGCTGCCCCGTGACGAGGGCCGGCGAGAACTCCTTGCAATGCTTGATAATCTTCAAAATAACCTGCCCCGACACACAGTCACCCTACATCTGAGACAAACCGGGAAGCACACCGAACGAGAAACACGAACAAATTGCACGAAAAGCATCCGGGCATCCATGATTATCGTACATAATGCCCCCATCACTACAAACAATTGCTTTCTAGCGGCCTATTAGCAGAGCCCATACGCAATTTCAAGGTTTCATGGAAAAAAAAAGGAGTCTTGAGAGAGAGAGAGAGAGAGAGAGGGAGGACATACCAGACCCTCAATCTGGACGACTCTGAGAGGCGGGGCGACCTCCTCGGTCGACGCCACCTGAAGGAAGGATCTCGCCGCCGCTGCCGCACCGATGAACGCACGGAAAAAACGCGCACGCAAAAGTCAGAGAGAGAGAGACAGAGGGAGAGGGAGAGAGAGATGAGCGTGCCTATACTTACGATTCGCCATGATCGAGAAGAGCAGAGAGAGGCCCCTGATCGGAGAATCTTCCGGCGAGATGGGGGAGGCGGAGGACGGCGGCGAGCGGCGGCGCTGTTCGGGTCGCGGCTGGAGAGAGGAAGTGCACGAAAGAGAGAGAGACCCAGAAACCCTAATTTAGGACTGAGCAGTGTTAGAGAACCCCTCTCTCTCTCTCTCTCTCTCTCTCTCTCTCTCTCTCTCTCTTTCTTTTTCTTCCTTTTTCAATTTTTGGTTTCTGATTTCGAAAATTTTTATCCGAATAATTATTATTCTAATTCTCATTAACTGTGATTTTTCATATACGTATTCATAATTACTTATGGGTGTGGTTTCTCTTTTAAAAAATAGACAAATTCGAATTATGAATTATTATTGAATTTGCCTTGTTAGCGACTATGGTTATGTTACAAATTTAAAGTATATATCCGCCTAAAAATAGAGATTAAAGACGGAATGAGAAAGTTTTTATCCGCGCTTGCCTCGCGGCTCATTAAAATATTATTCTAAATCGAGTATTGCTTTTACATAATATAATACTTATTTCTCTTTCGCTACGATAGAGGTAAAAATCTTTCGAGCTGATATTTGAATTTTACTAATTTACATTCATTTAAGAAAAGGCACATCGGTTATAAATATGAAAAAGTGGTCTCTCCATCACCAACGGTAGAAATAAAATCTTCCAAGAGTTGGTATGTGAACAGTAGACATATTTTAACATTATTCATAAAATATATGGATTACTCTGATAAAAAATTGTACATGAATTTTAATATAAGACAGCCAAAATTCTAGTTGATTTTGTATAAATGTTCAGGCAACTTCAGCATAAATCAAAAATCAAAGTTAATTGATTTTAACTAAAGCACCATAATTAATTTCACTATGAATTCATAGACTTACTAAAGTGGGTTTTGTCTCTATACAATCAATTTAATGCAAAGATTATTATTTTTTTCTTCCTATAAATTTTTTAATTAAATATACAATTAATCCTCTTTTAATAAGTTCTTTATGGGAGGGTTCTTTGACATAATAGAAAAAACTTAACTTCAAATCAACAGTCCAATTTGAAAGATGAAGAATATCCCACGATTTCATAAAACAGAAGGGGGTGGAAACAGTGGTCATAACTTGCTACCTTAAAAGAAAACACTTGGAATAGAGCTGAACACAAGTAGTATTCTTGCAAACATGAATGTTTTCCACCTAGACCTTACATACAAACCACATCTGATCAAGAACATCAATCGCGTGGGAATCGCATGCCCGGAACTCGAAACTTTCCAGCAACATCGTATCGATCAGAACTTGGCGGGATCGACACTAAGGTGACGGTTTGTTTGTGCGGTCATGGCGAATTCAAATTGCCTCAGAGAAAGCGAAGGGAAGGCGAGGATCTCCGGTGTGTTGAGGTTCTGCCACTCTTTGACCGGGTCGGTGTGCGTGGATCCGTCCAGCCCGATGTGGGTCACATGCTTCACGTCGGTCGGGTACCCGATCTCCAGCTCCTTTTCTATTTCCTCCATCTCATCATCTTCTCTGTATACTGAGAGCAAGAGAAGGTATGAGCTCATGAATAACATGAATCTAACAAATTACTCGAAAACTTCGCGAGAGGCCAAAGTGACGAACATAATTAATCAGCGATTTCTTACGATGGTGCCACATTAACCTCCAAAAATTACGTGACAGGTTCTAATTGAGCAACCATTAGTCTTGAGTAAACTTGCAAAAGACAGTCAACATTGATCTTTATCCCTTTTTCAAGATTTCACATCGCAAAAGCAAGTCAAACACTAGCAAGACATGGGGCAACTAATTAGGTACAATGCTACATCCCAAGCATGTGTATGTACTTACCAAATAATTGAGTGAAACTCTTGATGCTCCTCCTCAGCTTGTGCCAAAATCCAAAGTTGGCGTTAGGTTTTGACAAAGTGGGGTAGCCACGGGTGCCCTTGGCTCTCTCCTTGGAGGGTCCAGCCTCTCCATTTTGTCTTCCTTCTATACAAAACAGCAAGAACAAAGACAAGAGGACAGAGACAGAGCGTCCTATTAAAATATTAATCACGACCGCCCCGTGATGCAACACGACAGTTGCTCATCACAGGATTTGATCACTTAATTAAAAAGATAATTTGCATTTTGTAAACAAAGCATGCCCATATGTTTGTTTTGTTCTATATTTTTTGTCTATGGGGTTGTTATCTAGTTAATATCTTGAATCGGCTTTCAAGACTAGATCAATACCTCCACAATTTGATCAAAGCAAGTCGGGCTAGATTATCGTCACTGAGATCAGTAATCTTTTCCCTATTCTTATCCCGATTCCCAGTGCAGTATACACGGTATGAAAGGATTTAACCCGAAAATCTTACTTTTTTCGACACTGAATTCTTTTTCTGTATAGCGCGAGATGTCCTAACCTCTGACTCGGCTAATCTTCAGAAGGCATTGAAATCGCTCCACTCACGTGGATTGAAATGAGTCTCCGCCAAAGTTAAATCTAACAGGGAAAGGCTAAAACAAGGAAAACAGGGAAGATGTATATGCTTGAAAGATTGATTGATAACCCACCACAAAGAATGATGACCAAGAAAATGCACGACCCGTGAGAAAGCAAATCCCGAGAACCATTCTTCATTCATATTTCATGGCAGACTTATCAATACATAACCAAGTCAGTCAACCAACCATCCAAAAAGCTCAAATTTTTATATGACGACAGCCCATTTGAAGCAAACAAAGTGGCACAGTTGTGACAGAGAGAGAGAGAGAGAGAGAGAGAGAGAGAGAGAGAGAGAGAGAGAGAGAGAGAGGGGTCTTACTTGCTACGGCGGCGACGTCGAGTGATTCCGGCCTCTGCTTCTCTGACTGACATGCTGTGCTCACGGCGACGCTGGAGAGAGAAGCGCACCTGATGTGGAAGGGAAGGACCATGAATCGTTCCGTGCGATCTTTCATCGCTCCGACGCACTAGGCAACCAAGCGGGAGAGAGAGAAAGAGGGAGAGAGGGAGAGGGGACCAGGGACGAACCAAGCGCAAACAAACACACCCTTCTTGTCTTGGAATGGCTTCAATGAAGAACTAACATGTATGATGCAATGCAAGTGTGTGTGAATATCTGTTATAACATGACCCTTTTTGGCTTTAAGAGCAAGCTAGAATGATCTACGTGCAGAATTTGCAAAAGAACCCACCAAACGACTTTGGATTGAGAGAGAGAGAGAGAGAGAGAGAGGCAATTATTATGGAGTGGGTTGGAAATAGTGGTTAAGCTGCATCAACTTCACAGCACCCCCCCTCCTCTTATGTAATTTGCTAACATTGGTGAGACCAATCATGTGTCGGATCAGAGTTCAGACCTACTCTTATTATTACATAATTATTAAACTTGTCATTATTCCCTCCATGCAATATCTTTAGCTCTCTTCCGTGGGTTTTTCCTTTGGTGGGCTCCTTTGTCTTCACTTGCCTCTTTTGTGGATTAAGCAACCGTTTTGTAGGAATATTATTATTCCTCTCTCTCTCCCCCTCTTCCCCCCCGCCCCCCCCCCATCAATTTTCCCTTTTTGTTTATCTTAGGATTAACTCCTCCCATTGAGAAAAAGGCTGGGTTGACGTTGAGAGAGAGACAGAGAGAGAGCGAGAGAGCCAGGGCTAGAGTGGAAGAGAAGAAATTCCTTCAAAGACGCTAATTCAAAGCATTAGCAGAGTTTTTCTTGCTTTTCAAGATTCAATGACGATGAACTCCTAGTCATGGGGGGGAGAAGCAGCAAAAACTTTTAAAATTGACGAATGCTAATAATGAAAGGAAAGCAGTATAGGAATAGGAATTACAAATTTTGACGAAGACTTCCATTTTAGATAATATCGGATAGAAATCGGCTTTGAGAATCGGTGTTAGTGATTAAACCTCTAAGAAACAAGCTGCCCCACGATACATCTTACAACTCTGAGATTATGTAGCAAACAGCTTTCCAAGAGATCTGGAATGTGCTTGCCTTCATGAAGCTATGGAAATCGAACCTATGTATCGAAAAATACATGAATGATGAACTCTCCATCCCAATTCCTGTCTTTGGGCTTTCAGCAGATATTTCGAGTATTTGGCTCCGACGGCGGTGGAGGCGTTACTTTACATACCTCGGCATTGAACCCACATTCCATCAGAACGAATAGCCACGCTCGCTGCTGTTCGGAGAGCCTGTCATTTGGGCCTTTTACTTCGACAAGCTTCGCTTCGCCTCGGTATTCTCCGTGGAAGCGCCATAATAACAAATCTGGCATCCCACTAGACCAGCTACGGTAATCCTGCGAGAGAAGCCGGCAAAGCGAGGCCAGACAAGGTCCACCAACGCAAGTAACAGCTGCACGCAGTTCTGAGAGTGAATGCCGATCCCAGTTGACTCCGCGGCAAGCAGTTCCTATGTGCGACTCCCATGACGTAATAAGAATCTCTTCAGCCATGCCATTGTGAATATTTTGCAGATGGGTCTCTATAAGGCCCTTCCTGGCTAGATAAAAGCTATCTGTCTCCAAATCCAAAGGAGCCGTCTAGAGAAGAGGATTATCCAATCGTCAAATGGACTAATATGAAAAAAAAAAAAAAACTTATCATTTAGAATCATTCCCGATACGTTTGTACAAAGTATATTTTCTGAACCCATGCAATGATATTCTAGTGGTTGTAGGTTAGGGTAGCACACATAATTCATATATAAATGAACTGTCCAACGTTGGTTGAATAAACTTGTAATTTCAACATACCTGAAATTTGGTGCGGAAGACATTTGGTACGTCAGAAAAAATAGCATCCCACATAAGAAGCCCAAAAATGGTCAACCAAATGCCACTCTCCGTATGAACTCCACTCCAGCAACCTCCTTCATTGGCATAATACTGTAGAGCAAGCTGCTCGACTCCGCATTGCTCTCCATCTTCTCCATAGAACCTGCTCTTTTTCCCCATTTCACAGTTCAAAGGTCTCCCTTGTACATGAACCTAATCAATGACCAAATGAAATGATATCAATGCCTACAAGATCAAGTTCTGTGAACGAACATAGTTCAGTTATTAATGATCCAAAGTTTTGATTCTTTAAGAAAAGTATAGTCACATTACTTCCTTAATTTTCCATTTTGTGATCTCAAAAGAACGGGGAATTTTCCAGCGCCTCGGTGGTTTTCCTAAACGAAGAACCCGCTTTTGCATTGCCATTCTTGAACCAGCACGCACCCATGGATCCAAGAGACCATCCTCTGCAACTGAAAGGCTCTCGTCTAGGAATCCCAGATGCTCCAAGTTGATTGACAGCCTTACAGTCCAGTATCCTCTCCTTCCATCAGATATAAAACAGTCTAAAAGCCGCTTCAGTAGATTTATTGCATCTTGGTACCTAAGCATGAAAATAGTCTCCTTAAGATGTTTAATATAAAGCATCCAGCTTGTCTCCAGAAGAAGGGGGGCCAAGTGGAATTGAGGGCATTCAGCCAAAACCAAGTCTAAAGTGAATTAACAGTAGGACTAGGAGCATATTAATGTGTGGCAAAACATGCAACTGTCAACTATACTAATACTAGCCTCCTCGTTTCTCACCACCAATGCTTCAAGTAGTTACGATTGAACTTGCTAGAACATTAGTAATGACGATTATTGACTTCACAAATTAATAACTAAGGTCCATACTGATGGAAGTAACTTAACAAAACCACAGTAATTACATGCCTTAATTTCACTACTGGAGTGGCACATTCAAAAGGAAGCAACAAGTATCAACTTCATTGTCCAATCCATACCTACGTTCACGTTCAAGATACGAGATTCCTAACAAAATGACCTTGGAGTAGACCCAAGAAGCTGTAAAGCATGAAATAAATGCAGCTTCCGAACCCGAAATGGATGATCTAGATACATTTTCGGAAGGAAGATCCACACGAGAGTCTGCGATCTTTAAACATCTCAACACTTGGTTTGCATCATTCTCATCAAGTGACTCATCCATCAACTGTGCCACTTCAATGGCCTGCACATGTACAGATCCCATGTAATGAACAGAATCAAAGTCCACATATCATAGTGGCACCAAAAGAAATAAATACCTCTTCGTAATCTAGGAGGTGACTTCGAGAAGAGAAAATTTGTTCTGAAATTGTGTAGTTGTAAGTTGGATATTTGACTGCTCCCAGATCAACTAGAAGAAATGTAGACAGATCCTGTTCTCCATTTAGGAAAAAAATTCTCTGCAGATAGAGACTTAGGTCAGATGCCAACTACAACGATAATTAGGGTCACCAAATCTGTCAAAAGATGGCATGGCAGTACCTCGGCACGCCAGAAGACAGTTTCAGCTCTCGAGGATATTTTTACACACGCACCAGCTTTATCCAGAAGCATACATGGAAGAACTGGGCTAGATATGGAAGGCCAGAAATAAAGAACATAGTTAATACTCATATACTCAGCTAACAAGCCAGTAAATACTATCACATGAAAGTAGCCATACCATAATCCATCTCTATACAAATATAGAGCAGATGCAATAAGATCCTTCTTTCTTGAATTCTGGCTGCCTTTCTGAAACCTCCTCCATCAAATCCAAAAGGCATATGGCAGACTCCATCAGATAAAGAAGAAACAACATGCCAAACTAATACAGAATTTAACTTACAGCTGAAAATTTCATTTCTAAAAGGCTTTGCTATGCAAGTACAAACATCAATTTGCTCATGATATAAGTTCAAATCAGGTTGCAATTCTATCCTCCTTTTCACTTAAAAAAATTCCTGACTACCAATAAAGCATTACCTAATCGCTTTTATTGAAAAATCTGACAAGCACCACAACTAAAACCTTATCTCTGCAATCTAAGCCCATATCCACAGAATGTAACGACAGTGAGCATCCACTGCTCGACATAATCCCTAGATACTATACGCACCCATTTCTGTGAACTGGAAATGATGACAAAGCTCATACAGAATATAGATGAAATTTTACATGAGGACAGAAATAAAGCATCGGGTTGAACTCTTCTTTGATGTCATATAGAAGGTAGTTGAATTTCATTAAGTTCCTCCAGATTCTTCCTCTAATTAATTCTCTGACAAAAAGTTGCATCCTTGTCAGTTGCTAACAAACAATTGGTTCCCCATAAGACTAAGGGGATGCCCTCACACCACTATTACTTGGAGGAAGAATAGCAGGATAGAGATGTACAACTCTTTAAAGATCCTAAAGCTTTATCCTTTTTTTTTACTTTATGTATATATTTGAGATTTTTATGGCTTAGCTGGCAAGAGATATTAGGAAACCTAACAAGCACATTCTGTGGGAATGTGGGGGCTCTAGAGTTCGCCATCCTCTGCTCGACTCCTTTCTGTGTAGGGAAAGGTAGAGAACTTATGGTTCATGCTGGAATGTGCTGCAAAAGCATAACTATTCCTGCATAACAAGCAAAGTTAAGTTGTTGGATCCTAATCTCTTGGATGCACGTCAAGGAGCCAGACGTTGGACTACCAAAAAGTCTGAAAGGATCACACTTGGGCATGTTTGTTAACCAATATCAGCTAATAAGCTCACTGTGCATTTTTATAGCCGTACCTGATTGTCTGATGCACAAGAAGCATACGCAGTCCACAAAATGAATACTCAGAATCCAACAAATTGAGGAAAACAGTTATATATGGATCTTTATGGTCAATATTGTCCCAATTGAAAAATGCCACCGACACGCTACATCACATAAAAAAGACTTTGTGCTGGCCAAGCAGTCATCAATCAGTTAGCTTATCGTGCACATTCATGTCCTGATATGTATAAACAGAATTCATACTAATATCTTAAACAATGGATAAAATATTTGGCCCGTATCTGTCCACATAGTTGATTTTGACTGTGTGGTCATCGAAAGCCAACTAGCTCTTGGAGCATAAACTGTAGGCGCAGCCAATTTTAGAAAGACCCATCCGTAATGCTCCATTTTAGATGAAAAACCTGTCTAGCATATAAGGATATGACAATTCAGCCAGACCAGACCTATGTGAAAGGGGTTCTTGCTGAAGCGGCTTAATTAGATAATTAGCACGCTAGAACTTAACTGAAGCTGCGCGTCACCAAATGGAAGAAACTACTAAATGGCCTAACAAGAGCCATCTGAAATGCAAAGAAAGAGCATACAAAGTAGGATTAAAACCAGGTTAAGTTGAGTTTTAATTCCAAGGAACAAATCTATGCGTTGGTCGAGGTGAAACTAATGTACCAACACCACTTACA